AAACATCCTAAAGTCATACTAAAGTCAACCAAGTAATCCAAAATTCTTTCCCGCACTTTTCACCCACAACTCATAAGTCGAAGACTCGAGGCGTAACCAGATTTTCCTATTACCAGCATTTTGAGCGAACAACATGAGAGCAATGATGTATTTCGGATCAGAATTTCCCCACTCCAAGCCTTTCAATTTTTCAATACATTCATCCGTCTCCTTGTCAAGATTATTAGTTTGCGCGAACGCCTGAGCCGCCTTCATAATTTCCTTGCCAACCTCTCTTATGTCATCATCAAGTGAGTCCGTGGGTGCATTTCGTTTTCCTCTTTTGTTTTTGGACCGACCAGACGAATCTCCACTTGCATGTGATGCACTTGTAGGTGGGGGTACTGTTGAAACTGAGGCTGGGATATCCATTTGAGGTGGTGTATCTACCATCTCGATATCCTCATAATCTTGTGTAGTAAAGCCTTCTGCAGGGTGAGGGAGTGTTGAAGATGGTCCCCAACTAGCAGCACCAGTCGAGGTCGCACCGTCAAACAACTGGATGCATAGATCAGGGTAAAGGAGGGGTGCATTTCTTAATTTCTCAATCATCTTGTTCAACTGTTTGAAAATTGATTTTATTATTAAACTTTAAAAAAAATGTGTTTGAAATTAAAAGATTACCTTCGCCTCTGCTTTCCACTCTTCATCCGTCATTTGAAACGTGTTTGTGATAGGATTATAGAGATTCCCAGTTTTGTTTTTTAATTTCAACCAAACTGAATACTTGCTTTTCAAGTAGTCATAACGATATTTCATTTGTTTTTTGTCAACAACAAAGTTGTGTTCTTTTTTTAGTTTTTCAGCTATTGTATTCCATGAGGTACCTTTGAGACCACTACCCTCCCGACCGTTACTTGTCAGTTCTTCGATACATGCATCAAGAAAAGTTTTGTTCACAAAATCCGAAGACCAACTAGCTCTACTTCTCTTTTCCGTCATGTCTAAGAAATAAATAAATATTTAACATGTTATGCAAATATATACACATATTTGCACACATAAACACAAATATATATACATATACAAAAAGATGTAACACAAATGTAACACACATGTTATGCAAATATATACACATATTCACCAATTTTGTTTTTGGAAGATGTATAGTAATTAATCAATAAAAAGAATCATCCTGATAAGAGAGGAGATCCTGAAAAGGTTCTACTACCTAACCATGTCTTTTTATCTTTTATATTTTATTGCTTTGTTTGTGTTTTCATACGTTGCTTAATCCATGAGTCTTGTCAAATAATGAATATTATAAACTGAATCATCAAATTGTTGGTTAAATAATGTCGTCTGGTAATATATATATATATATATAATATATATATATATATATATATATATATATATATTTCATGTTCAGTTTTCTACCGTATATAATTTTCACTTCTTGTTTTCAAGAATCAACAAATAAGATGCATGCTCACGTGAGAATTCTAAGAATCAAGAACGTGAAAAACAATGACAAACAATAAATCCTGGACGTGAAAAATCAAGAACATGAAAACATGGAAATTTTAAGAATCAATAATAGAAAAACGTGCCAATTGGTTGATGTTGTTCATGTTGATCATGCAGAAAAAATAAGGACAAACAGAAAAACAAACCTATTGATTGATGTTGTTGCTGTTGATCGTTGCTATTGTTGTTGATCGTTCCTGTTGCTGTTAATTGATGCTGCTGCATGACAGATTTGAATCGCTACTGGGACTTCTTGCTTCGTCGCTGGGAGGTTAACAGGGGAGGGATGTAGGGCATAGACGAGTTTTTTATTTTTTATTTATCTCGGTCCATCAAGTTGAAAGCAAGGACAGAGTCTTCTATTTTTATTGGACCGAGTCCTAATGTTGGACCGAGTCCCCTACATCTAAAATCAATATCAAACGTGCCAATTGTTATTTTATGGACCCAATCCTCTTTGGACCCAGTTAGATACCATATCAAACGAGCCCTAATTAAATATGATCACTTTTGGAGAGAGAGAAACTCATTTATTGATTCATTATATGATTAATAAATAGCAATAAATGATTTATTAATATATTATGAGAATAATATATTAATTTGAAATAATATTATTTAATTAAGAACTAGGTTAAAACCCGTGGAATCCACGGGTGTTAATTTTAAATAGAATTAAAAAATTGATTATGTAATAAAATAATATATCATTAATTTAGAAAAACTTGTGAATTGTAATATTATTTTTTTTAATAACTTTGTAATTTGTAAGTATTTAGTTACACATGTGAATCCTGCTATTTTATAAAAGTCATGAGTTTCTATAATGCAACATATTATCAGTTTTGGAGCTTTATTCTTATTAAAAACATGGAAGTTGTGAGGCACTCACAAGACAAGTGTAAAAAAATATTTATTCTTATTAGGGAAATTGTCATAAAAGCCCTTAAGTTTTCCAAAAAATGTAGGTTTTACCCTTTGAAGAGTTTTAGGTCCAATAAAACCCTAAGTTTAGGTAAAACCGTGCATTTCTGCCCATTTAAGCGGTAGTCCGGTCACCAGATTGTTGACGCACACGTGGACGGTGTTGGGCACGCCACATCGGCGCTGATGTGGCCACTGAGGTTTCCTCTTTATTAAAAATAGGTAGCAAAGTAAGGATCAGAGGCGAACAAGATTCGAACTCGTCGGCCCCCTCCATTCCCAAACGCAGAAGCTTACCACTAAGCTGAAAACTCTTTTGTGACTTATCGCTCAAACATTGTATGTTACCACATAATAATATCGTTACTATTATTAATGTTACAATTATTAATATTGTTATTATTATTATTATTATTAATATTATTATTATTATTATTATTATTATTATTATTATTATTATATACATATTTTTCTAAAAGTGTAATTATAAATGTATAAAATATGTATTTATAAAATATATAAATTGAACATTTAAGTACCTATCTATATATACATTAAAAACTTTCTATATATATATATATAATATCTATGATATATATAGATCTATATAATATCTATAGGTTTCGTAGTTCTATGGAACACAAAAAACCCTAAAAAAACCCTAAAAATCATAAAAATGCATAAAAAAGATCTTAGAGATCACAAAACTTTTTTTGAATTTTTTATCAAAAAACGCAGCTGTTAACATAAAATCGCTGAAAAGTTTTTTGAAAAAAAAAAATTTACAAAAAAAAAAAAAAAAAAAAAAATTGTTTTTTTATTTTTTTGTTCAGCGAAATTGTCAAAAAGACTGCGATTTTTTGATAAAAAAAATTCAAAAAAAAGTTTTGTAATATCTAGGTATTTTTTTTATGCATTTTTATGATTTTTAGGGTTGGTTTTTTGTTTTCCAAATAACCCTTCCCTATAGATATTATTAAATAGATATATATATAATATATATATATATAATATATATATAATATATATATACGTTATGGTATAAATACATATAATATGTGTATTTTATCATTTTAATATGTATTTTTTTCAAATACCTTAAAATAAATATTTTTATTTTTTAAATTATATTTATATATTTAAACATTATATTTATATATTAAAAATATATTTTACATCAAAAAATATTTTATATTCATCAAAAACACATTTTATATATTTAAAAATATACGTATATAGTAATGATAATATAATAATAATAATATTCAAAATAATAATCAAATAAATAATCAGTATCACACAATATATTTTAAGATTCTGGATAGGTTACACAAAAAACGACTTAGCCGAGTGGTAAGGCGGTTCTCTTGGTTGTACAGCGTCTAGGGTTCGAATCCTGTTAGCTTCGTTATTCCTCGTATTAACTTGTTTTTAAGTAAGTGACGTATCCACTTCCTAGTCAGCGCCATGTCATCCGAACCGGCCCAATCAGCGCTGACGTGGCTCCTCAACTGTGCAGGTAACCGGCTGGTCACCCGGAAACCTGCTAAAAGGGCAAAGCTGCAAAATTTTACCAAAAGTTTCGGCTTTAGTGAACCTAAAAGTCATCAAATGGTAAAACCAAACATTTTTCGAAAATTTAAGGGTTTTTATACCATTTTCCCTTCTTATTAAACCCTTACTTTTGGTTCACGATTGTTGGGAAGAAAAAATGTTTTGTCGGCTAAAACGTCACTTTTCCCATTGTAACTTACCACCCCAATAAATCTTCAACTCCACTATCAGAATCACTCCTCATTTTCATTCCACGGTAGAGAAAAAAACATTCATTCATAATTCAAAATCGCAATGACTAATAAAATATTTGCAACAACTTTTTTTATTAAATTACAAATATACTATTGGTATAGGGCAACAAAATGAGCATAGAGGAACAAATGGGATAGAATGTAAATAAGGTTGAAATAATAAAATACATGTAAGAAATATAAAACGATGAATTTTGACAAATGAATCAAAGTACATTGCTATTTATTGCATGATTTGACTTGGAATTATTTTATTCTTACTTTTCTTATTTTTTTACTGTTGGTAAAGGGGTAACAATTGGCATAATTTATAAATAAGGCTGAAAATAAGAAAATATATGTAGGAAGTATAAAATGATGATTTTGATAAACCAACAAAAGTACATTACTATTTCGAGTTGGTACTTTTTTTATTCTTACTTTTTTTCACTGTTGGCAGATGAACAACAAAATGGCATAAAAAGTAAACGGTTATAATGGGTGACATACAACAACACCTTCCAAACAAATAACATATTATAGCATCATACTGTACTATATTTAAAAAAAAAATATTATAACATCATAACGTACTGTTGCAGACGTTGGTGTAGAATATTTGACTTCGAATTATTTTATCTGCTACCACCTGCTTTCGTATTGTTGTAGACGTTGGTGTAGAATATCGTTTTCTTCTTCTTTTTCTCTTAATCTGACTTCTACTTTGAGGATTATTCTTTGTAACTCAGCAAGATATGATGACTTCACCACCACTTCATCTTATTCATTGCTCTGTTTCCAAAAATTAACCTCACTTTGTTATTTTCTCATGAAATTGAAATGTGAGTTGTGAGTTGTGACATGATTATATATTTTTATATGTTATTAAACAGAATCTCATTAAGTGTACCTTTCCAGAACCAAATTGAAGTAGTGTAATATCCCCTGAGCATCTTCTAACCAACCACCATCGTATAACTGAAAAACATATAGGTTTTAATAACATAAATTAACACCATAATTAAAATTATAATATCATGATATAGAAAAAATAATATACCAGCTTGTAACACAACAGTAGCGCCATGAATGTCTTCAAATCTTTTCTTGCTTACTTTTGATTTAATCTGTTTCTGTATAAAAACAGCCGCCCTATGTCTTTGTAGCAATACCACAAACTCCTTTCTGGTTTTTTCACCACGAACATCTGTAGAAAAATATTCTTGTTAATTAAATGATATCTCAATATTTCTTCTAAAAAAAGATTGAAAAGGCATATACATGACTGAAGAGTGAAAATTCCTCGTTTAAGTTCCTTCAAATATTGACGAGCTTTGTGACCTCTAAAGCAGCTTTGAACACGCAATATGTCATTAAGAGTTCGGTTCCTTGTATCCTCAAGCTTTCCAATCTGACATATAAATTTATATATAATATAATACAACATCAGTTTTTGTATAATTACTAAGATTTAATAAATTAACAAATAAAAATGTTCATCATACCTGTCCAGTTCTAAAGAACAACTTTGTATAACCAATTTGATACATATCAGGAAGAATATCAAACTGGTGGAGAATGGCAACTGATACACTTAGTGGATCTTGCAATGCAACATGCTCTAGCAAAAGAAACTTGTATCTAATAATAACAAAAAAAAGATGTTTGCAAAGCATAATATTCTTCTTTATTAAACATAATATTCTTCATTATGACATTTTGTCGAGCATATAGTGTGCAAGTCAAAATAATCTAGTTTGCAAAGCATCCACCTTGCACTTTTGTTCTATTAAACTGTAAAAAAGAACATAATTTTACAACCATTGACATATAAGATCATAAATTGAGTATATAGATGTTGTAACAATAAAAGAATAATACTTACCCGATTGATGCATAAGCATTTTGATTGGAGGACATGTCAATTGGAGGATGTTGAATTGCTAATGGATTTGAGAAACAGAATGTACCCCAGATCGCTGCTCCCAATAGAAAATTGTCTAGTCATATCGATCAATGGGATGAAAATTTTGACCCACAAAAACTGAAATCGTTTCCTATAGAATACGGTGAAGAAAATCGAAATCCATATAAGCAACATCGAATTATTTTGGAAAGGATATATGAGTAATCGTGCAACTAAATCAAATGGATGCGAGATATCAGTGATTTTGGCCTTAAATGTAGGAGATTAGAAACGTCTAAAGGAAAGAAACGCAGTTGATTGAAACGCATTAAATCTGAAGATTAAAGCTGGAGGGCATTTAGGGAAATTCACTTTGGTATTTTAAGCGGAAAAAATTCGATTTGGGGGCTTGGAGAATGCCACGTGGAAAAAATCTACTTATTTATTAGAATAGGGGATTAGTCAGAAATTAATTTGAATTAATTTTGGGATTAATTAGATTAATTAAAAGTGCAAGGACTTAAGCTGTAATTGTTCAATAGTTGAGCACAAGGGTTCCAGAACCTTCCCCAAGGTGGTGGACGGTTTTGGAGGCATATTCTAGGGTTTCTAGAATATCACTTAAAGATAATTAAGTGATTGGATAATTACTAATTTGAAATAATAGTATTATATTCAAATTAGGGTTTCTAGGGTTTCCTAGTGCAACTATAAATAGGACTCTAAACCTTCATATTTTCAGCCACTCCTCCTCTCAAGAAAATAGTCGAAAATCATCCCATCTCCTCTTTCTCTTCAAGTTTCCTTAGTTGTTAGGGTTTTGGGTGTGAACCATCAGAGGCACGAGATTTCTGGTGCTTGCTTCCAAGAGCTTTTGAAGAATGATTTCATTGGTTATTTACAAGAATAATTAAAAGGTATGTAAACCCAACCCTCTTATGAATTTCGATTAAACTAAGGTTTCAATAGGGTTCTTTGATGTTCAGAGATTATAGCTTTCAATAGTGAAAACATAGATCCAATTAAGTTGCATATGAACTTAAGGGTTAAGTTATTTTCCGTCACATGATTTTTGTAACCTATAAAACTTATCATCCTATTACTTCATGAGGGTGTAATATTTTTTTCTTCATTGTTTCAGCGATCGTTTTTTTGGATTTAATTGATCGACATTTTAAGTGGAATGTGAATATAGTGATCATATTTTTGCTACTCATTTTGGGATAATTTTATCATTATTCTTAATGTTGTAAGATAATGTTGTAATTTTTATTGGTCTTCTTGTTTCTTTACTCTTTCTAGTGAACTTTTGCTCTAGACATCTGCTGAGAAATTATAAGAATCTTTATTTAGGTATTTGAGTTTGTAAATTTGAGTATGGAACTTGTTTTAAGATTTACAAATTAGTAAATAGAAGAAAGTCACTTTTATTAATTCTTAATTGTAAGAATGTTTGGTATATAATTATTATAATTTTATCATCTTTATATAGAATCATCTTTATATAGAATCATCTTTATATAGAATAATCCCTCAACAACCGATACTCAACCTGAGCGACCCACATGTCTCTTGACCTATTCATTGGCGTTCCCAAAAGGAACCACTGTCTACAACGAGCTCCTTGTCCACAACTTCTTGTTGTGAAGACAACTCATGCATTCCTAAGCACATATATCTGATAGAAACCTGTTGTGCTCCCCCGTCTTGACCAATCTTGAACCAAAGTCTCGCATATCCGAACCGTAGATCCTTATGACCCATTCTTCTGAAATCATAAGCTCAAACAGATCGATGATCCTCCAAGAAAAATACCTACTTCTCTCCCACTTAGGGTTCAAACTACCACCAACTGACGTTGCAAACAAACCAAATCTCAAACCGGCTCAACCAGATACAAAGAATCCGAGAACCTTGGAATGTATTACACAACGCAATATGATTTTCCAAATAAAGACCAAGAAAACTCAAAGAGATTCCAAATCTCAGATGTAGACCTCGCAAACTCCCCAATCATAACCGCCTCTAACATAAAAAATCTCATGCAGATGCACAAGCAATAATTATGTCCATTCATGACACCGATTCTCTATCTAGAAACAAATGGACTACCACACACCTCGTCTGCAAATACCTAATCATCAATCTATCTTGTGAATTATTCATAGATACAAGAGGCATCATTCTCATAGTTGGGATACATCAGAGATAACAAAAGTTTTTGTTCTCGATTCACTTATCTGATCACCTGAAACAATCAACTAGCAACCTGACTATATTCAAAGAAATCATACCCTTGATCTCATTTCAAGGCAACCATGCCATAAGGATCCTCTTGTGCATTCCCATACTTCCATACTTACTGCTAAAAACTGCAACTATCTACCACCATGCTGGGTCTACATCCCAACTTTGAAAATCACATGTCTGCTCTCTTTTTCCCCCCGGACACGGAAAACTGGAAAAACATAACCCCCGTCGTGGATAGTGACATCCCAATCCATCTGCCAATCACTCAGCCTCCGACCACAATCATCGAGCTGATCATCATAATTGCTTCCTTTTTGAGTCCTGCGACTCAACTGGAACTACTTCGAGCAAGGCCCTTAAGACCTCAAATCAACTAACTCACCTAGGTATGCACCATTCGAACTCAATACTGACATGGCCACTAATGCCCAAACAATCATCTGACCCATCCTCAGTCTGAACAACCATAACCGAAAGGACGATAAAGACGAAAACAAACTGCATTGAATCATGGTTCCAAACCATGTTATCTACCTTCAACCAGTTTCTTAGAATCCCCATAATTTTCCTTGATTAGAGTACGGATCCTGTGCTTTCAGTAGTACAGGCCCAATACTACCTTCCACACCTATCCGTACTTTCCTCAAGAATCATTCCAAATCCTCTAAGTAACTACTCATGTACACTACCGCCCGACCAGCCACATATACCTACTCTCAAATGAGCATACATTGCTAATATTCCTAGAATCTCCTTTTAGGATTCCTCTTCCGAAAATGCTCACACAAGCACTATCTACCATGCTTCCTAGGTTGTCCTAGGGTTCCCTTCACACCACTCTCCGCCATCAGCTGCAGAAGAGACTCCCTCTAATACCTTCTAACTACCTCATGAATACAATTACATGCTACAGGTACTAGAAAATTCTTCGACTATAAGTTCTCACACTACAACGGTTGGACTCAAACAAGAGCTGCGGAATAGAGTTAAACCTAACCTTCTAAAATTATCTAATCCCCGCAACATGTAACCTAACGTATTCGCTTAATAGTTAGCCGATATTATTGAAGGTCCCTAAAACCACAAAGCAAGCAGCATTCGAGCATCGAGTAATCTAACCAGTGCCTCACCTAATCAGGTCATTCTATCCAACAATCTGAAATCCATACTAGCATGCAATTCCAAAAGCTCAACCAACAAGCATATAAAATACACCTCTCCTATCATTCTATTATGCAATTTAGAGAAGATCCTTAACCCTAATCTAGCATGCAATTCCCATATACTCATACCAAAATAATAAGCATAACACATGTATGGATATTTTGGGAAATACTTACAGGAGCTCGGCTGATTGCATGCTTCACACCCTTTTTTCTCAAAAACCTTTTTGGAAAATTATTTTTCTTTTTTAAAAGATTTTAGAAATGCTCAGTTTGAGTTTAGACACACTCGAGAGTGTGCCTGAATTCCTCAAACCAAGGCTCTAATACCAACTTGTAACGTCCCGAAATTCCCGAGTAAAAATTTCATTTTAAATAAGTCAAAATCATTTATTCATTATCCCAAAGGACAATTATAATAAAAGTATTCTCAAACATCAGAGTAAAATCATAAACGGTCGGTGCAGAATAAGTCTCCAGGGGATGCAGTGCGATTAAGCCGAACTCTTCCTTTTGAAACCAGGAGTACCTGAAAACATTTTAAACATAAACCGTAAGCACAAAGCTTAGTAAGTTTCCCAAGATACCACATACCATACATACATACATACATACATACATCAGGCCCTTCCCGGTATACATCGGGCCCCGCCCAACATTCATCAGGCCCCGCCTAGCATCGAGCCCCGCTCGAAAATACATACAAACATATGCAAGAGTCACACAGACAACTTGTGACAACCCAAATTTTTTTGCCTTGTAAGTCCAGCCAATCAATTGAGAGTCAGACTCATTTCTGCTATTTTTTAGCATTGTTAAGGATCATTTTATGAGTTCTAAGCGTAGTACACTTAAGGATTGGGTGTAGGGATATGTTATCTTCAGTTCATCGAGTTGTATTCAAGCCATACACTCCTTCAAGAGGAGTGTACGACCGTACACATGGGTGTACGGACATACACTCAATGAGGCCGTACACCACCTCCCATATATAAGCCATCCCTTCATTTCTTATTCATTTCTTCAATTTCCAAGTCAAGAACTCGAGTTCTCTCTCAACTATCATCAAACTTTCAACTAGATCTTTAAAGAAAGTAAGCATGCCTTCCATTGTTTAGTTGATTCATTCCATTATCTAGTAAGAATCCATGATTTCATCCATGAAACATCTTCAAAACTCAAGAACATCAAGAGTGTACGGCCGTACACTCTATCTATGGTCGTACACCCTTGTTGAGTCCATAATCTAAGGCTTAAAACACTTGCTAGTCACTTGGTACCCCTTAGAACTCTAGAAACCTTAAACAACTTTGACTTAAGACCCAAAAATGCATCCATCTTGGAGTGTGTACGGCCGTACACACCTTAAAACTCTCTAAAATGAAAGCCTTGTTCATCCTTTGGTTGTACATTTGTCACACTAGCTTCCCCATGGATCAAACACCCTCTTTTGCATGTTTTCCATGAGTGTACGGCCATACACTCATTTGGTCGTACACACCTTGGCCGTACACTCCATGTGATTGTAACACTTAGTCCAAGTGTTTCCTAGTCCCTAAGGGTGTTTCCTTACGTATTGGTTGTGTAAAACACTAATTTCA